TAATGTACAGCATAGGAAATATAGTCAATAGTATCATAAAAACTATGCACAATGAGGGATGGTTACTCTATTTGTGGTGATCACAATGCAAAATATATAAACACTGAATATTGTATGTCAGCTTTACTTTAATAAAAATTAAACGTACCCAACCACCACCACCACCACAAAAAAACCCTCATCAACCAAAAAATCCTCTAGAGTCAGCTGAGCATGAGGCAAGAGAGAGTAACTAAATTTCACTGTAGTACTTGCAGCAAGACCATGCTTAGACAAAGATGTAGCCTAATATCTTTTGACAAATCTCTTTTATTCTCCATGTTCCAACCATCTGCCAGAATCAACTCAAATCAAAAGATCATTTGACCCTTGACTTCTTGTCCAATAGGAGACATGAATAGGTATTCTAAAAAGATGTTTTAAATTATTATTTTCATTTATTAATTTACTTAGGAACTATTAACATAAAGTCTGATATGAAATTTATCATGGATGCCAAAGCTGAATTGACCTTTTTATTTAGCTCAGAAAATTTAGCTAAAAACTCTGTTGGCTATGAACCTTCACAAGATTTTAAAGGAAAGTGTGAAAGAAAGAATACATAAGGAGATACACAAAAATGCTTTCCTTTAAAATACCTCTGGGGAGGGAGGGTATGTATGAGAGGGAGGGAGGGGGGCAAAAAATAAAATAAAAAATCAATAAAATAAAATAAAATAAAAATAAATAAATAAAAATAAAAATAAAATACCTATCTCCTTGCCCTAGCTGGTTTGGCTCAGTGGATAAAGTGTCGGTCTGCAGACTGAAAGGTCCCAGGTTCAATTCCGGTCAAGGGCACATGCCCAGGTTGTGGGACTGATCCCCAATGTGGTGTGTGCAGGAGGCAACCGATCGATGACTCTCTCTCATCACTGATGTTTCTATCTCCCTCCTTCTCCGTTCCTCTCTGAAATCAATAAAAAGTATTTTTAAAAATAAAAAAATGTAATACCTATCTCCTTACATATGCACTACTCGGTGGAGCAATCAGAGTTTCCTTGTGAAATCATGGGTACACTTCACATATAATTAATAGGAAAAAGCTTAATTTTTCTAATTACAAAGATATTTTTGTATTCTTACATTCATGAACTATTTGTATAATATATCAATAATATATTAGAAACATATTCTTTAGCCAGAATTCTAACCTTCCACTAAAAACCCAGTTACTCAGATTTAAACAAAATCATCCTATATAGTAAAAGCCCAGCGACCGAATGGCGGAAAGACCAGAACAACCAGTTGACCAGTTGCTATAATGCGCACTGACCACCAGGGGGCAGATGCTCAATGCAGGGGATGCCCCCTGGTGCTCAGCGCACTCCCACAGTGGGGAGCAGCTGCTCAGAGGGCGGGTCCACAGCCACATGGCTGAGCAGGATGAGCAGAGCTCCCACAGCGGACCACTCCCTGCAGGCCACGCCCCCCACCCGTGCACAAATCCCATGCACCAGACTTCTAGGTCACTTTACAATGATCTGTCACAGAGCTCACAGGAAGAAATTGTTGTGATGGGGATCTCTGCTTCAAGCTGCCTCTCAATCACATATATCAGCATGACTGGGGAAGTGATATTTCTTACTTAAAAATTATCATTTAAGAGACCCAAGTCATTTCAAGCATTGGTTTTGATTGGAATATTTTTGAAGAAATTTTTATCATATTATATATTTCTCTAATATCTATACTAGTAAAAGGGTAAGATGCTAATTAGACCAGGAGACCATCCGGACATCCTTCTGGACAAAGTCATGGTGGTGGGGCCGAGGAAGAGGCAGTTAGGAGCAAGCAGGACAGCAGGGGAGGGCAGTTGGCAGCAAGCAGGCCGGCGGAGGGGAAGGTCAGTTGGGAGCGAGATCAGGCCAGTGGGGAAGGGCAGTTGGGGGCGACTAGGCCTGCAGGGCCGGGCTGTTGGGGGCAAGCAGGCCAGCAGGGGAGGCAATTGAGGATGAGCAGGCCGGCAGGTGGAGGTAGTTGGGGCCGAGCAAGTTGGCAGACAGGGGCAATCAGGTTGGTGCTGGGGCAGTTGGGGGTGAGCAGGACAGCATGGGGGAAATTGGAGATGAGCTGGCATGCCGGAGGAGGGGGGGGGCAGTTGGAGAAGAGCAGGACAATGGGGGAGCTATTGGGGGCAATTGGGCCAGCGGGGAGGCAGTTGGGTATGAGCAGGGTAGCGTGGGGGGGCAGCAGGGGTGATGGTGGTGGGCAGCTGGGGGCGATCAGGCTGGCAGGGGGGCAGTTGGGGGCCATCAGGCTGGCAGGGGGGCAGTTGGGGTGATCAGGCCGGCAGGGGGCCAGTTGGGGGCAAGAAGGCCGGCAGGGGGCCAGTTGGAAGTGATCAGGCCAGCAGGAGGTCAGCTGGGGGCGAGCAGGCCAGTGGGGAGGTGGCAGGTGAAGATGAGCAGGCTGGCAAGTGGGTGAGTGGTTGGGGCGAGAAAGATGGCAGGGGAGCAGTTAGGGGCGAGCAGATAATTGGGGAGGCAGTTGGGGACAATTGAGCCAGCAGGGGGTCAGTTAAGGGCCATCAGGCCGGCAGGGGGGCAGTTGGAGTAGAGCAGGCCAACAGGGGGGCAGGTGGGTGCAAGCAGGCCAGCAGGGGGAGCTGTTGGGGGTGAGTAGGCCGGTGGGGGTGGGGGAAGGAGGGTAGTTGGGTGTGAGCAGGATGGCAGGGTGGCAATTGGGGGAGTGCAGACAGTTGGGGAGGCAGATGGAGGCAATCGGGCCAGCAGGGGGTCAGCTGGGGGCAATTGGGCTGGCACGGGGTCAGCTGGGGGCAATTGGGCTGGCAAGGGATCAGCTGGGGGCAATTGAGCTGGCAGGGGTCAGTTGGGGGCAATTGGGCTGGCAGGGGTCACTTGGGGCAATTGATCTGGCAGGGGTCAGTTGGGGGTAACTGGGCTGGCAGGGGTCAGTTAGGGGCAACTGGGCTGGCAAGGGTCAGTTAGGGGCAACTGGGCTGGCAGGGGTCACTTGGGGCAATTGAGCTGGCAGTGGTCAGTTGGGGGCAATTTGGCTGGCAGGAGGGTCAGTTGGGGGCAATTTGCCTGGCAGAAGGGTCAGTTGGGGGCAATTGGGTTGGCAGGAGGGTCAGTTGGGGGCAACTGGGCTGGCAGGAGGGTCAGTTGGGGGCAATTGGGCTGGCAGGGGGTCAGTTGGGGGTAATGGGGCTGGCAGGAGGTTAGCTGGGGGCAATTAGGCTGGCAGGGGGTCAGTTGGGGGCAATTGGGCTGGCAGGAGTCAGTTGGGGGCAATTGGGCTGGCAGGGGTCAGTTGGGGGCAACTGGGCTGGCAGGGGTTAGTTGGGGGCAATAGGGCTGGCAGGGGTTAGTTGGGGGCAATAGGGCCGGCAGGGGGGACGGGGCAGTTGGGTGCGAGCAGGATGGCAGGGGGGCGGTTGGGGATGAGTAGTCCAACAGGGAAGAGGAACAGTTGGAGGGAGCAGGATGGCAGCTGGGGGTAAGCAGACAGTTGGGGAGGCAGTTGGAGGCAATTGGGCCGGCAGGGGGCAGTTGGGGGCGAGCAGGTTGGCAGGTGGGCAGATAGGGGTAAACAGGCTGGTGGGGGGTGGCAATTGATGGTGAGGCCAGTGGGGGGTGGAAATTGGGGGAGAGCAGGTGGGCAGGGGAGAGGGGTTGGCAGTGAGCAGGCCAGCGGGAGGTCACCTGGGGATGAGCAAGCCGGCATGGGTGGGCAGTTGGGGGTAAGCAGGCTGGCAGGGGGTGGCAGCTGGGGGCAAATAGGTCAGCAGGAAAGGGCATTTGGGGGCCAGCAGGCCAGCTGGGGTGCAGTTGGGAGTGATCAGGCCAGCGGGGGTAGGGAGGGGGAGGGGGAGCAGTTAGGGGTGATCAGGCCAGCGGGGGTGGGAGGGTGGGGGTGGGCAGTTAGAGGCAATCAGGTCAGCAGGCACAGTGGTTAGGGGTGGTGGGATCCTAAACCAACATCCCCCAAGAGGTCCCAGATTGGGGAGGGTGCAAGCTGGGTTGAGGGACAACCCCCCGCCCTGCATGCATGAATTCGGTGCACCAGGCCACTAGTGTTATTATAATTAACAATAAAATTAATATGTCATAATTAACCTTAATATAATGTTAAGTCATCTGGATAACTTAGGGACATCATTATGAATACCCGGCAATGGGCTGAATTCTAAAATCTTTGTAACTAAGAATCTCCTGAGGAATGGGGAGCTATTTACTCTCACCCTGGGTAGAATCAGGCTGTGCTTGTTCTTAGAAGGCAGTGACTGTCTCTTACAGCCTTTCTGCCTCCGTTGCTTTGTCAGTAGGCCACCTGTCATTTTTTGCTCCCATCCTATATCTGTTATTTAGCAGATTTCTCTGTTTCCATGGAGCTCTCTTTTGATTCTAAAAGTAGCAGAAAAAGCCCTAGTTTCAAAGTGAAGTGGGCCTGTCACAACCCAGCAGTATGGCCTGGATAAACCAATGAAACACTTTAGGAATTTGCTTCCTTGATTACACAGAACCAGCCTGAATGATCTTTAAGTCCAACCTTAAAGACTTTATGAAAAATCTTGCTAAGGGCTGAAAAAACTAACATCTAAGCGTATCAAAACTCTGTCCAAAGAAAGAACAGCGGAACTCTCATAAAAGGACCCCAGAGATTCCCATGCTTTGGAGCACAGGATTTACAGCATTGCATTTTAGTTTGCCATGGTCTTTTGGGTCTTCTAAGTCCATTGTTATGTTTCCAACAAGTGACATTCCTTATTGGCTAATTCACTTCCAGGTAAATGGAACAGAATGACATAAAGGACTTTTTTAAAAAGAAAATTAGATATGACTCTTAAATAAACTTCCTTCACATAAAATATGAGAATTCAAAAAGAAATTTTCAAAAAGCATAAAATACATTATATCTTTATGAAAACTTTGTTTCTAGATGCATTTCATTTGATATATCAACAAAACGTTACCGCATACTAAAAAGTGACTTACCTATAACTACATCATGACCATCAACCAAGCCAGCAGAGAAGAGCTCCTGAGAAACGCCATCTGCTGTATCTGTCCAAATAAGAAATGAGTATGTATTAGTAACAATAAAAAAAAATCAGCAATCCAGTACAATGTAAAATATATATATTTTTTTTAATTTACAAAAATCACTCACATCTGTTTTAATTCAACAATTCAGATTAATCGGGGGGGGGGGGGGGGGGACGGAATCCCTGCCATGTATTTGCATCATGTTGTTTATTCAACAGAAGTTACACAAAATTATTGTTTTATTTCTCTTGCCCTTTGGCTACTGTCTTAATTAATCCTCAAGTGCACCTCTCAATTAATCCTGAAATGCACTGTTAGATTCTATCTCATAGCTGGTCCCAATGGCACTGCTTTTCCTTCTTCCTGAGGTCAGTTCCAGCCAGCATCAACCCTTTTCTATCGTTAGTAGCTATTGCAGTCAGAATTTATGGCAAAGGTTAAAAAGGTAACATTTGATATGACCTTATATTTGGTACAAACATCTTGTGAATTTGTTGGACTATAAGATGATCTATTTAAGAAACTCCTTTAACATGATACTAATTGCTTGATAGCAACAGATTCATTTTCTTAGAAAACGTGGTTGAATAAAAATATATTTCTCAGTGGTAAGTGTCAGTAGTTAGCAATCTCAGAAATATAAGATTGAACAGGCTGTAACAAGTGAATATGGCTGAAATTACTTAATTGAAAGGCTAATAGTATGAATGAACGTGGTAATAGTGAGAAGTCTGCTAGAAGACCTTGTAAACAGAAATTGATAATTTGCAAAAGCTCAAAAGAACCATTTTGAACCCCAATGTTTTTCTATGGGAGATGATTTGATCCCTATGGCCACCTTATATTTTCAAACACCAGGAACTGTAGGTGGATAAAAAGAAACCAGTTCAGTAGCAGGTAGCAACCTAGATGGGCTTTTGACTTTTAATGTCTTCTAAAGGCAGGGAAAAGGAGAGCGAATAGCTGCTGAATCAAGCAAACATCTAAACTGAACTGCAGTTTGCTATGACACAGGCTGCCCTCAACATAGTGTTTCCTTGTAAACCTGTGTTTTACTGGTAGATACTGCAGTTATGTGAGAGGGTGTATATGCATGCCTATGCAATCAAGTGACTTGAAGCACAATGATCTTTCAAAATCTGTGGGCTTTACAAGGCTCAGTTTGGTGTCTGACACACAGTAATTACTCAATAAATAAAACTGTGGTGATGAAGGAGCAGCAAAGATCATCAAAACACATCTTATACTCTTGTGCATTCTTCCTTCCTTTCATACAAGGCCCAAATTCCCAAATGTTAATAAAAATTTGGGAGCCAACATACATTCTATGTACTTCCAAGAAATTGTGGTATTCTATCATTTCACTCATCCTATTTCATGATGAATGAAATAAAATGGAAATAAAAAATAAATACATAGAAATCTTACTAAATCATAAAGCTCCATAGAAGGTGGGCTTATCTTGGACCTTGTCCTTACTGCTGGAAAACACTTTATACAATTCTTTTAGGAATAAAATGACCCCTTCCATGAAACATGGGGCAGAGCAGCCAGCGAAAGGTTCCCCTCTGAAGGGGACTCGGCTTTACGAAGCTGGTGGAACAGGTGCCTCACCATCTCCAGCTCCCTCGATGCCCCCCAGGAACTCCAGGAAAAGAAGCCTATTGGATTAAAGGGCATGCTAGGGCACACAGCAAGCAGTCATTATATTTCTACTAGAGGCCTGATGCATGACATTCATGCAAGAGTAGGCCTTCACAGCTTCGGCTGCCTCATTCCTCCCAGCCCTGGCTTTGTCTGGAAGGTCATCCCGACGGACATTCTGCTTTTCGGCTGTTCAACTGATTTGCATTTTACACTTTTATTATTATAGAGTGACTGATCATCTGCTAAGGCATCTGAATGTGTTACCATCATCTCTAAAGTATAATAAGACTTTACATTTGAGGAAGGAGCTATAATCACAGAATGTAGTTAAAAATGGGAACAAACAAAGCCACACTGAGGGCTAGCAAATGGCATTCACAAGCAGTTCAAGTGTACAGCATCATCTACTAGTTTCAGGACTCCTGGGTACCAAATGAGTCTTATTAAAATAGCTAGCAGATGGCCTAACCGGATTGGCTCAGTGGATAGAGAGAGCATCAGTCTGTGGACTCAAGGGTCCCAGGCTCGATACCGGTCAAGGGCATGTACTTTGGTTGCAGGCACATCCCCAGTAGGTGGTGTGCAGAGGCAGCTGATCAATGTTTCTCTCTCATAGATGTTTCTAACTGTCTCTCCCTCCCCCTTCATCTCTGTAAAATATCAATAAAATATATTTAAATAAAAATAAAAATAAAATAGCTAGCAGATCGTGCTGGTTGGCCAAAAATGGAAATGTTGCATGTTTGTGTGTGTGAGCCATTAAGCTGTTATTTTGTATGCACATAAGTAATATATCAGTAATAGTTTAGAATAGAAACGTGAAGGTAAATGCTAATTTATGTTTCTTTAAGCTGCTTAACATTCCGGATGTGTAAACAAGTTAACTAATCATGTATGCTCTGGTTTTCAGAGCATAGAGCAGCATAATGAATATAAAGGGCTTACCCTCAAAGGAGAACACTGAATACATCTGTGTTTTATATTCTAGCTATAGGTACATATTTATGCGTGTATACAGCACAGACATAGTACACTTGCCATGTGTACACACAGAGGTAGTGCAGACAATGTCTGAAACGCAGGCAGCATCAGCAATCATAGGTACTGATTACAGCAATGTATCCACGGTGTTTCCATTACTAAAGGGCCTGTGCTCACTGCCCGGGGAAGGCCAGTCATCATCTAGAAGCCAACACTATGGTTCTGTCTGGGCAATAAAAGCCAAGACTCTTGATCTAACTATGACAAACGAGGCTGCCAATGGCAGCACACAAAGCCAGGTAGTGCTGATAGGGCTGTCTTATCCGCAAACATCCTCCACTCAGAAATTCATTTCTTTGTTAGCTCTTTAAATTAAAATCGATTTTGATTGCCATTTTCGATTTAAAACAATCAGTTGGAAAGGAAAAAAACCTTAAAATAAGAATCTGTTCTTTTACCTACTGTATTTGAAACATTGATTATGAAATTACTAACTTTTATCAATGCATTGACTGGTCAATATTTTTATATTATAACAAAATAGCTTTTTTGATAACAGAACCGGCACCATACAACTTCACAGGCCGAGTCTTAAAATTGTAAAGATGGATGTTCCCAGAGAGATCAATGAGCAAATTCATTAGGGCCCTAGTTACATTATTTTGTAAACGGTGCTTCAAACGTTATTTTAATTCCAACATGAAGGGAATCATTACATCTCTGTGCTTACATGAACCAGAAATCAGAGCCAGCGAGTCCAGACCGTGTGTGGCCCAGGAACATATTTTGTTTGTAGGCAGTGTTTTTAAAATCTGAACTTGAATGTATTAATTTCTTTAAAATCTATTTTTATTTATTTCAGAGAGAAAAAGAGGGATAGAAACATCAATGATGAGAGAGAATCACTGATTGGCTGCCTCCTGCACGCACCCTACTGGGGACTGAGCCCACAACCGGGGCATATGCCTTGCCTGGAAATCTAACTGTGACTTCCTGGTTCACAGGCCAACGCTCAACCACTGAGCCATGCTGGCCAGGAGGAGCCTGAATGTATTTAGACAGAACTAGTTTCCTGAAGTTCCCACCATTCATTTTGGGTCCTATAAGCATTTGAGTTTGTGTTTCCTTTTAAGTGACAATAGCAGAGAAGTCAAACCGTTAACTAATGTCATCCCCCAAAATTAAAGAAAAAGCAAGTGTTTTACTTCTGGGTTTGCAAAATTTTACCAAACACACTTTATTAATCAATCACAGTTTACATGGAGATCTAATACACAGAATAAAAATAATATCATTAGCTTACATACAATGTGTTCCCAAAAATGTATACATACTTTAAAAGCTGATAGCTCAATTTTGAAAATGAAATGTATTTTAATAAACACTGCCTTTATAATTATTCAAAGTGTGTGTATTCATTTCTGGGGACACTCTATCATAATACACTCAAATGTAAGAGACTAATGTTTTTTAGAAAGATATTCATTATAGACATTGAAGCTGTTTTCATGTACATAAAAATGTGAAACCACAAGTCAGGAATTAACAGTTCAGTTTTAGCATTTGAAACCTATTTTCACTTCTCCAGATTGTTTTGGTTATACACCAAACAGTGGAAGTAGCAGTTTTTGTTAAACAACTAGTCTTGTGGTGTCTGAAGTTCATATATGTTACTTATCCATTTATTACCCAAATCACCTTTTGCCAGGTGATAGAGATACCAAGAAATATGCCATGGTGCTATGAAGCTGAAAAAGGCATCCAGGAGCTGAAAAAGCAACCAGTTTAGCTTTTAAATAACTATTTAAAATACTGAAACTGTGTTCAGCTGCAAGAAGGGCATCATTCCTGCTGAACAAACAGAGGCCACAGACACAGGCTTTGTGCATTCTGAACTGAGTACAGAGGCCAAGCATGGTATCACTGTCTGCTGTCAACCCTCATCGGAACTGCTATGTGATCCTCAATGCTCTCATAATAGTATCCTTTGTAGTCAATAGTGGTTCAGGAAATAACATAGAAACCCACTCCTGAAACCTACTGGTATATGTTCATGTGGATCAATGTCACCCCAATTAATTTAATATAAAAAAATAGTGGTTCCATATGAATTTCCTACAATTATCATAAGTCTTTCCTTCCCTCCTTCCCTTGCTCATTCCTTCCTTTGTTTTTAGAGAAAGCATTTTTGATTAGCAATTATAAACATGTGCTTATAATTAATTTTAATCGTTCTTTGTAGCAATAAGGTAATAATTTCAATTAAAACTCACCTCTTCCTGGAGTAAACTCAAATCGTATATCATTAAGTTCCTTTCTGGAATTTCTGAAATAAATAACATAGATCACATTAAAATCTAATGAGTAGAGTTTAATCAAAGTAAATGTATTTCAATTTTTACAAGATGCTACTAACATGAAGATAGCATTTTATAGTCTCAGGTTACCTCTAAATACTTCCTTAACTGAAAGTGATAGTTATGACAATAATAAAGGAATATATTTGTTTAATTGGTTGAATTTACCTTATAGAAACCCATTCAGATCACAAAATTCCAAAAATAAAACATTCATTTAATAAATCTACATTAAATTAGTAACCTTAGATATATTTCATAATAGAAAATTTCAGAAACTTTTAGTTTAGAATGATATTCAATACATATCATATTTTTTCTGAGAAAATAGTATTCATTAACTTTCTAAAAAGTAAAACAGACAAGATAGGTATGGCACTGAAGTTCATGACAGCACTATACATTAAATCATATAACAAAATGCCCAGAGTAAGATACATATTCTGTGGCTACATTTTTTTAATCTAAAAAGAGGGGACCTGAATTGTGAAATTATCCACTGAATATATAAAACCCTACATAAGTAAATATAAAATACATAAACTATAATATATACATACAGGGTGGAGTAAAAGGTTTACAGTTATGAGTTCATGAAACAGAGTTTATTCTTTTATTATTATTTATTATTGTATTATTTTCTACACAAATAACTGTAAGCCTACTTTTGCCCCACCCTATATATATTCAATCAAAAAATTACGTTACACTGAGTAAATATGAAACAAGTAAATAAATATGAGTTTTCCATTTATATTAATTTCGAATGACAATAAGCCACAGTGAGCAATAATTAGAATGGTTTTAAAATTTTATGAGAATATTATGACTAACGCAACAGATGCTAAAGCTAATAAAAAAACACCTTAAAAAACTGCAGTAAAAATATGAAGTAGTAATGTTTGTAAGCACTCAACTACTTTCTTGCTCAGCCATCAAGGGTGTGAGACAGAGACAGAAATAGCTTGAATACTTATCCCTAAATATTGACCGTCCTGTGCCCCAAGTGTGATCAAATCCTGTTTAGCAATCCAGCTGTGGTCGTCTAAAACTCTGGGTCCTATCTCCTGGTCTCTATGTACAGTGCTCAGGTCATGATGACACCAGCCAGTCTCTGGGCCGTTTCTGGTCCTTACCCCGCTGAACTAAGTGCAAAGAGGCCCAGAAAGACAGCAGAGGCCTCCCTGGGCTAGCACAGATGGAGAGAAAGCCCTTCTCCCCAGGGCCTGGAGAAGCTGGCCCAGGTCTCACACCTTTCCCCCAGGAGAGAAGGAAAGAGTCAACAAAATCAAGGGATGGCCAAGCGCAGGCCACAGACAAGAACATCGAACAACTTTGCACTTCCCCTCAGGTGTCCCCAATTTTAACTTTACCTACTCCACTCAGAGAATGGGACTAGGGGAAAGCAGAAATTCCTACAGCTGTCCTTTTTGTTGTTGTTAATCCTCACCCAGGAATATGTTTATCAATGATTTTTAGAGAGAGTGGAAGAAAAGGAGAGAGGGAAGGGAAAGAGAGAAATACCAATGTAAAGAGACACGTGGATGGTTGCCTCCTGCAGGCATCTGGACTGGGGCCAAGGATCGAACCTACAACCCAGGTACATGTTGTCCTTGACCAGGAAAAGAACCCGCAACCTTTCAGCACGTGACACTTTAACTACTGAACTACCCCGGCCAGGGCAAGCTGTGCTTCCTTTAGGAACTCCTGAGAATCTGAACACTGTGAAAACTTTGAACTCTCTTAAAAAAAAAAAAAAATAGACACACAATGGACACAGGAAATTGCAGACTACTGTAGATGGCTCAGAGAGCATGTGGTACCCTGGAATAAGCAGCCCCACCCTGGAGGTGGCATGTGCCATGAGCATCAGTGTGGGCAGTGGGAAAGCCGTTTACATGTTGGATTGTTTACACAGCCTGGATTTTCTTAATAAACTACTGACGCCACCACCCATTCACATGGTGCTTCCGTATACATCAGCAGTTCTCAAACTTTTGTCTTAGAAGCTCTTTCCATTTTTAAGAAGTATTAAAGACCTCTAAGGAGCTCTTGTTTATGTTGATGATATATATCAAGATCTAGTGTATTGGAAATTGTAACTGATAAAATTTAAAACACGTGTTGCTTTATTTGAAAATGGCATTAACTCATCACATGCTAATGAAAAACATTTTTATGAAAATTGCTTTCCAAAAGAAAAACAAATCAGTGAAAAGAGTGCATTGTTTTATACTTTATAAACCTCTGTAATGTCTGGCTTAAGACAGTTGGGTCTTACATTTGCAATATCACATAGCATGCAGCCAGCCAGTGAGAAGTTTCACTGTACAAGTGAGAAAGAATGAGAGTGACAAGGGCAGATAATTTCTTAACATTATAATAAAAATGGTTTTGACCTCTTGGGTTCATTCAAAGGATCTCCAGAACCCTTAGTGTGGTCCTGTGACCCCACTCTAAGAAACACTGATCAAACCTCATGAATCAAATCTCACTTTATCCAACAATCAACCTCTGAGGCACACAAATCAGGTATTATTTGTTTTCCAGTTTTCAGGTATGTTTAAGGCGTTACTAAGTATACAAATTTAATGAGTGGCAGAGTGAGTACCAAGAATTCTACATTGAAAATACCTTGTACTTATAGAAATGCTCAATTCCTTTTGTTTTTGAGAAAAAATATCCCCTAAGACTTTAAGCTACCATAAAAATATCAGCAAGCATTCATTTCTCTAATAGCCTGGGTTTTGTGTACTGTATATCAGCAAAGACTGAATTAGAACTAAAACTACCTGATAAAAAAAGGGGGTCACAGGAAAGCAAATGTTGAGTGATTTCATACTGAAATAACAGAATAAAAAGATGAAAAGGAATTTGGTTTGATGCTAATTTATGTCACTCTTTCTTCTCTATCCTTTGATCAGTCTAAATTATTTTGTTCATAAGAAAATATTACTTTGGCCATAAGAAGACAGGTGTAAGAACTGTACTTAGAATACCCTGATTCTTTCAACGTTAATACCACTAAGTAGTATCCAACACCCACGATCTCTTATCTACATCTGTAGCTCCAGGTATAGAGGTTGCCTAGTCAAGTTATTCTTTTATAACTCTGAACCTAAAACACCCACCTTTGAAAAGATCACAGTGATTGACTGTGCGTAGTTGACTAGCCCCATCAGGATGAAATATAGTTGGAAAAATGCCTAATTGGATCTAACTACTGAAGGTCATCCTTTTATGAAGAATTAATCTTTTCAGACTCATACTTAACACCTTTAATTGAACGTACTTTTACTTTAATTGATATGGCACAGGGTACCCTTGATTTCAGGGAAGCCAAAAATAGGCATGATGATTTAAGACCAGAAACTAAGTCTGTGTAATTATAGAAGAAACATAAAAAACTTGAGAGTGATAGCCTCAAGACCCAGGCCACCTTTGGTAACTTTTATTAAAAACCCTTTAAATCTTAACAAAAATAACACACACACACACACACACACACACACACACACACACACCAAAAACAAACAATAACAACAACAGAAAACAAAACCCAAACTCTTACATTTGGAAAGGCTCAACCCCTCATTTCTCATTGTATGAATATGCTGCATCACAAATGCAAATACCTACAGGGCTGAGGCAAGAAAAAATTTTAAAATAGGAGCTACAATTACATGGTGTAAAACTAGCCCTCTAACGCCTGACACTCAACTACCTGGTTGCCCTCACAGAGGAGATCAATGCTTCACGCAAAGTCTGAACAGACACCAGAAAACGACATACCCAAAAGGAATGCATCATTTTTCCTATCAAATTAACTTCTCTCTCTCTGCTCCTTGTGGCGGGAAATAGTGGTAACATCCATCTACCATGACCTGTGGCTACACCCCCTTAAGATTTCTCAAATCATCGATTTCTCTGAAACTCACTACTGACCAAGGACTGGTCACTATTATCTGCCAAAGAGAGAGAAAGTGAGTTAATGAACAGAGGATATTTTATTCACAGTCACGGACCCCACCCATGCACACACAGAGAAGTTAAAAATGTATCGCACAAAGAAAAATGGCCTATTGAGGGGCTTGTTACTCAGGGTAATCTGTTTTCTTTGTTGTTGTTGTTACTCTTCACTCAAGGATATTTTTTCCACTGATTTTTAGAGAGAGCAGAAAGGGAGGCTGTGGGGAGAGGAAGAGAAAAACGTGGATGTGAAGGACACATCGATTTGTTGCCTCAGACATGTACTCAGACTGGGGCCAGAGATCAAACCTGCAATCCAGGTACATGCCCTTGACTGGGAATCGAACCTGCCACTGCTCAGGGTGCTGGCTGACACACCAACCACTGAGCCTGACCTTCCAGAGCACCAGGGTAATCTTTGACAGAAGAATGCGTTGTAGCCCAGGAAGAAAACTGTTGGACTTAATAAGATGTGAAAAATGATTCCAATAGAATGAGCTGAAGGGTGCCTATCACCTAAGGCCAGAAACAGAAGAATTGGAAACAGAAAAAAAGCAGATTCCATGGCCAGGGTGGTGCCTGCTATGTCACAGTCTCTCTGCTCCCCTCTGGGCTTTCCTAGACCCGAGTCTTGAAGTCAGGCAAACAGACTGCCTCAAAACTGAAGATCCTCACCTGGAGACCAGACAGCTGGGCTCAGCTGCAGTTCAGCCATTCACCCCTCATCTTCACTGTCCCCTGCAGGAAAGGGGGGAGGCAATGCTTCCCTCATGAGTGAGATGAGCTGTATGAACACTGTGTGGACCCCGCATTGCTGTTTGGCATGGCGGTGCCTTTTATTTTGAGGCACAGAAGCAGGGGGGAAGTTATGGCTCTAGTCCTTTAAAGAGTTTACCATCTACCCAGAGAATGACAGCTGACATAGGTAAAACTACCAGGAAAATCTCACGTTAAATAAGTTCTTAAAAACAGCACTCAAGAAAGAAATATCAGATTAATT